AATAAACGATCACTATCATTAATCTACAATCGCTTCAGAGTATCTCCATAAACTCGATTGCTTCAAAATCTGATCCGCCGGAAATACAATTCACTTTAAATCTATAATAAAATTGTTAATTGAACGCCGCTTAATATTTTATAGCGTATCGCGTTATCGATGCATGTAAACTGTTCTTCGTTGGTTTGTTCTTGCTTCCAAACAATTTTGACAATTCATCGAAGTTTATTCGAGGATCTAGAAAAATATCTATGTCAAATTTAATTGAAAACGGTCTAGAATAGTACCCCCTTATATTTGTCTCGTATTAATTTCACGATTGTTCGTAAGGCGTAAGAAGAAAAAGGTTATCAGACCGTCGTGCATTTTTATTCAATGTTGGCCGTGAGTTTGGCGCGTCTAGTTGGAAGTGATGGAAATTTAGTGAATGCACGGAATAGCCGAATGAAAGAGAAACGGGGAAATAAAACGGAGACCACGAGTTCGAGACTTGGTTCGAAAATGTTGCGTCGGAATTCTCGAATTCGGCGCGCGTAACTCGCGTGTACGTACAGGCATTCTCATGTGAAATTGGAAACCGAAATGCATAAAATTGACGATGATCATCGGCCGGAAGCCGTGTTTCCGCTTTGAGCGTTATGATTTTTATTTTTTTTTTTTTTTTTTTTCGCTCAGATCCTCGCGGGTAGAAAATGTTTGCACGAAAATGTCATTCGTGTTAAGTCTGGCATTAAACTAACGGGCACGAAAAACGTTGTCGCTGAAAGTTCGCGCGAAGTACATCGGGAGCTTTCAGGAAAGCGCTTCCACTTTTCCAAAAATTATGTCCTGTGAAATTCAGACTCGTATTTAATATATTAGGTTGCTTCAAAGCTTCTTGCAATTTCTAAAAAAGAGAAATAAACTTAATACGACGAATAAAATGTTTCAAAATAAAAAATACATGAAGCTTGTACTTGATTCTTAAACAATGATTTGATTTCAGATTCACAATACAAAGTAATGTAATTACGTAATAAATAATAAATAACACCCTTCTAGCCTCATCAAATGGTTGATAATTTTTGTCGATCTTTTGTGTTTCATTATTTAACTTTCACTTTTGGTGGCCAGTTTCTCAAAAAATGGAGTCTCTATCGTTACGTTGAAAGGGTAAATCGCAAGTGGAGACTCTGTTCAGAAGGTTGTTGCCCTTCATCTGATGAGAAACTCATTCTTCACAGCGATTCACGTATACTAGACTTAACAGATGGTTATGAATCGTTGTTGGCGGAATATTTAGAGTATCTACCACCTCACCCAACGGAGAGTAGTGGGTTTTCATCGACCAAGGTTTTGATGAAGCCCCGTATCTCTGATGAATAGCTTCTGCGTTCTCGATCTTCAGGGTTAAAGTCTCTAAACTTTCTATATCAATTTTGAACAGCTACAGAATAATACACGATGTAAATTTCATTTATTTGTTACATCGTTAACAAAATTATTATGGTTGTGATCTATGGAACACATGTCTCGTTAGCTTCTTCTTAGATCGCGTATAAAGTTATTAAGAATTTTTTTAAAAATCGTTTGTAAGTCAGTTTTAATAGTTATTATAATACAATATCAGCGACGTAATATCATGTTAATAGCTGTTGTCGATAAGTGACCATGAAAATTCTTCTTACTATTTATACTAATTAGAGATCGTACGCGGTACGTGACTAATTAGACGCATCTCCAATTTCCCTCGACTGAACGTCCTCTCTAGTAATTACTCTGACATCAATCAAGCCAATATGAAGGGATGGTTACGTGTGCAATTATATTATATACCATTACTAGACATACCAATATTATTGTTCAGAAGTAAACGTTATATTGAATACAATAACAATGAAACGTTACTGACTCGAAACATTGATAGAACATTCTTACATTTTTCCATCTTGTAGATTTACTTGCATATACAATTCTCTTTTAAAGTAAAGGAATCTTATTTGTACAAAATAAGATTATCATAGTATCATTTACAAAAAGTTTATGAAGCAAGGAATTTATTTAAGAGTGCACAGATATTGTTAGATTTTGCTTTCTATGCACTCGATTGTAACAAGAAATTGTTCTGTTAAGCTGTCTTATAAGAGATGTCTTCCAAAAAAAATGCATTTTGTAAATTACTGGACTCTTCACTCAAGTTTGTTCATCGACCCTTGCCTTAGCCACAATTTTTATTTGCATAATAAATCCTCCGTATAGGATAAAGCATTTAGGTATTTCTAAACCTATGGAATTTGATTTTGTTCAGAATTAATAAGCATATGATTTCGCCCATTGAAATTAATCGAGAACAAATATAAAATGGCTTGATAATACGTATCTTGATGTGTGAAAACAAAAAAAATTCTGACCAGTCGAATCTTACGACCGCCTTTTTATCGCGCGGATTAATATCAGCGTTATCAAACCGCGGACCAATACGAGCATGGTATTGAAAGGCTGCGTATGATAAATATCGACACTTATATGAGGTCGGGGTAAATATTGGACCGTACGTGAAAATTAGCTGCCGACGTCGAGGGCAGTTTTAATCGCCATGGGATAGCCACGTCGCTTTCAATTTTACGGAATGCAGAGAAACAAAACTGGACACCGTATGTCCTTTTGATAGGGGAAGTGCCTAGTCATACGAGCTTTTCATATAAAGGTCGTCACGATTAATATTTATAATGAATCCTGATGCGAACAAAAAAATAAGTCTAATTTCGTGCAATGATTATACGCGGACGTGCCCGTAAGCCAAAAGGCTGAACTCATCAGAATGGATTAACAAAGACTGTGTCACGATACTCTCCGATATATCACTTTAATACTATTTTAATTTAAAATAATTATACAAATTCTATTCATCGATACCTCGTCTTCTTGAAGGTGCCTTGTGTTTACGTTGGCGCGATAACAACAAGAACACGGCTCAGAGGATACGTACCTCGACAGTATTCCGCGAGATCTCTAGATATCACGTCGTGTATTCTGTACTCTTAAAATTTATCGTTAGTTGAACGTATTCTGACGTTTTGCAATTATTCCACAACGTTATGATGACTAAGCCGAAGACGAAGAAGTCAGAAAATGAAGAAGTTCTTCACGAGCTGATAGAGACTGAAATTTCATCAGAACCAGAAGACGAATATTGCAAAATTGGTAAAAATAATCAATTACATATAATTTTATGTGAACCTACGTTTACTCCTAAACTCCCAATGTTAATTATATCTTCTACTGTATTCGCTGTTAACACTTTAAGACCGTTGTTCGTAACCACTGATATTGTAGACCAAAGTGAGATACCTGAAGATGCTAGGAATATTATTATAAGCAATTATAAATGTAACCTCACAAACGTAATAAGTTGAATGTATGATGTCTGAATGGTGACTGTGTTAAAGTGAAAGTGTTAAAGTAATTTAAGCACGAAATAAATAAGATTTTGCTAAGAAATAGAATTTAAAATATTCCAGTCACAGTGAATTGATTCTCTATTAATTTCACGACAACAGAAATATCAACAGAAATAATATTTTTCATAAATAATAACGATTAAATTGCTAAACTCTTTTTGATGAAAGCAGCAATGTGAATGTTAAACCACCTTTAGCGACGGGCAATTACAGGGCTCCATAATTGAGCGCTGGGTACGGTCCGGGGGAATCAAAAGAAATAAATTCTTGTCGATATCATCGGGACTAGTTTTCAATTAACTGCTGCATCATCCAATTAACACATGATCGTCCCTAAGATTAACCGGTTCTACAGAAATCGCTGTCGCATCGGCCTGTCGAGACCGTGCTCCGCGATTACCATCGACATGGCTAACGACCTCATTAGTTTTGTGGCATATTATGCCGTGGAAAATGAAACATTGAGGGAACGCCGAACCCGTTGCATTCCAGAATGGAATCGCGACGCGTTAATTAATTTCCCGTTTTCATCCGCGCGATACCACGCCCGCGTCTTTGAACAATTTAAAGAACGCCTACGAATCTCATTAAGTCGCCAGCGACTGCTGGCCAAGCTCTTCCCTAACGAGAAAATGTGGTTTCATCGATCCTTTCGTCACACGGTTGATTCCCTTCTTTTTTCTTTTTTTTTTTCTATCACAGAAATGCAGCGAATCGTAATTTAATGGCTGGACAAAAGTGCAGCGTTTAAATTTTCGTTTTTCTTCGACCGTCGCCGGAAGGAACGTAATTCCTTCAACGTCCATAATGTTTTATGGGTAATGATTTTTTAATTGTTTCGATTCGACGCTCCTTTATCCGGGATTACCATGGAAAAAGATTTCGTTTTTAGACCGTAGATATAATATAAATTACAAGATTTAATGCAGTAAACGCGCGCTATGCTGATTGGATATTTAGGTTACACCGACCGTTTTGTTCGAATCCAGTATTGTTTTTGTCGTTCTGTACGCCGAAAAATTGAACGACACAATTAAAACTCGCTCTCCGATGAAAGAAATGGTAATTTGCGGGCGCAATAAAAGAATTTCGAAGTGCCGTTGCTTGTTACACGGCTGTGAAAACCAATTAAAACGTTCGGAATTTCTTTGTGTGTTTGAAAATTTTTAAACATTCACACGTTCCATATTTTCTCACGCGACAGCGAAGTGCAATTTCTTCGTGCGTGCACGTCGGTTCTCTGTTTTCAGGAAAAGTGTGTCGTTGATTTATTCTTAAATCGCCGTGGGTTTATGTCGATTTACGTACCGCGATACGTCTGTCATCGCGTATAAAATCGCGGGGATTAAACCGTGATGGCGTCGATAAAACTGCCGCGGAGAGGCTGGTCTAAATCCGAAAATGAGCGTCGTAAAATTCTCTGTACTTCGGTAACATTGTGCCATCGTCGAAAGGTTCCATTAAAGAGGAACCGATAAAATGACTGTATCACTTTTCATTGCGTCATCACTCAAATCACGTCCGACGATAAACCGTATCCGTTACATTCCTCTGTTCCAGGCGATGAAGATGAGCAAAGTGGGCAACCAGACCAATTCACAGGACCCACAGGCGGTGAATTCCCGGGTGTTCGTCGGGAATCTAAACACGTTTCAGTGCAGCAAGACCGATGTGGAGCGAATGTTTCAGCGCTACGGCCGTCTGGCAGGTAGGTTTCTCACGGCGAAATCACATAAACGAAAGCCCGGATCAGCTTTCCTACGTTTTAGAGATTCCTTCGCGTCGGACGTCAGATTTTTTAACGACTTAGACCGATCGAAGCTCGAGCAACGTTATCAAACAATAACGAAGGGCACGAAATTTACCACATTTCGAAAACAAACCTTCTAATTCTTTTCGCATATTCTCACACATATTCCCATCCTCCGTTAAAGTCATTATTTTCGTAATCATTGATTTCATTTATTGAACAAGTGTATACAATTTTAATATATTCTCTGGATACGATATTTTTATGCCGGGGAAAATTGTAGAACTGGTGATATGAGATTAATTGTGTTCAATAATAGAGAGACCCATATTCTATGAAATACATTTTATTTTTAATTTATATAAATATTTGAATACAGGAAAAATGATCAGGAAATTTACGATAATTGTTAGTTTGCTTGTGACGGATTTAATAAATTGCTGTACGTTTCAGCCCTTGGGATATTTAATTTGATATTACGTAGTTCTGCGATCGACTTTCGAATTGATACACTAACACGAAAATCGGGGTTTACGATTCTCTAATTGCTTCGACGATGTAGCGAATACATTGATCGGCATTTTTGATCCGAGAGGTAGTCGAAAAGCAATAATTTGTAATATTAAATTATGGTGGTCGAATGATGATGGGAGTCGAGTCTTAATATATGTCAAGTGTATTTTATTTTCAAAGGGTAGTTTCAGCAGGGAGTTTATTTTAGTATATGTTTATGTGTAGCAGTTGTACGTTTAATGATAATTTCCGTTTTGGTTAGGAAACAGATTAAATTAATTATTGAGTTCTGAGCTAATTGAGCGAGGTACCTAATAGGATGATTTCACAATATTCTCATTTAGAGTATAATAAATAATAAAATAGTAATAAAAAATGATTTGCAAAATCAACTTAATATTACAATCTTGATACTTAAAAATACTCTTCGAGAAATAAATACATTTTCCAGTTATACTAAAGCTTTTTCTTTAAGGTTTATTTTCAATTTTTCAGCCCTCGTCGATTTCAATAATTTTTCGTCACAGATAGTTTGATTGGCAAAATCAGTTCAAAAGTTAATTAGTTAACACGGTAAACATTTTTAATAATTATTTTTACGAGTAATTTCTCGCTGGATATACCGTCCAGTGAGTTTTTTCCCCCGGGAAAATCTAATTTGACTTCGCCGCGTCGACTTCAAAGAGCCTGTAAAACTGGATAGTTACAAATTGGACAAAGTTAAGACCATTCAAAGATCGAGTCGGATAATAGGAAAAACTCGCGCTGTTATCCGGTATAAAAACGTGGAGCCACGATTCGGATCGAGAAAAATAGCAAGTTGGAAACAGGATTTTCCCGATACGCTCCGTCCTCGGTAACCCAATTTGTGCCGTGATAGCTCCTTGACCTTCGATATCCCGATTGGATATCCGTCTCTAGTTTCACGAACCCCGATGACTCCATTGCTTTCATTGTAGCACTAACTTCGTTTGAGAAACGTACTTTATTGCTACGAACTAAACCCGCTATGGGGAACGATAATAAATTGGAACTACGAAGATTGCGTTTGCTGCAAAATTCGGTTTAGATAAATAGTTTTTAGTTAGGAGGGCAATTTCTATAGAGATATCGTCGTCGAGAACTGGATTTGTTGTCTTCCTAGTTGCCAGTCTTGGACAGTAGCCCGTTGTAAATCACCTTACTGTCTTATCACTACAATTTTAAACTAAAATATTTGTCATATTCAGCAACTTTATCCGTATCATATATGATGTTTGTAGTAAATTATTTTCCTCGACAGTTAATATTTAAAATACTATTTTTTAGCTCAGAGTTAGTTTGAATAATAATAAAAATTTTCACCGCGTTATAACACACATTATTAGTTTTTAAACTGGCTCAAGAAAAGCTAGGACTTTCGTTTCGAGTTATTTTATAAACGGTCGTAATTACAATGATATTGTACGATCGTGAGATCGTTAGATTTAAGGAGCAGTAAGATACGACGCGGACGAAAGTGTGACACTTTTACTGGAGCAAGTTTCGCGAAACTCGATCCTACTTATACGAATTTCGAGTTTCTTGGAGTCTGCTGCGTACAGCTGTCACTGCTACGCTATGCGATCCCTGTTTGGTGTTTCCGGAGCAAGTAAAATTAAAGCACAGTCTATGACAAAGTTTCCGTCCAAGTTGCGTAATGCATCTCGCATTACGCCTGTAATGAAAACTTTCTACATTACATTTAAATACTTCGATTAGTTCGGAGCTGCGCGACATACGCGCGGGGGAACAAGGTACGCGTTTAGAATAAGATTTGACAGAGTTGTTCGAGGATTCTTAGAATATCATCATAAAAGAATTTCTGTTCAAATGCCAAACACACAAATTGTTTAAACCTTGGATGGAATAGTTTGTAGCGTCAGTGTTTATAATTTCTCAAATCGCTAAATTCGGTGTTAAATAATTACAATTAGGGGGATTAGAAGGAATTGATAATTTTAATGAATTAGAATGAAAACTTTTCTCATATTCAATGTTTGCTCCGTATTAAATTTCAAAAAATTTAATGAATAGGTATTTTATCCATACCTTTGAACAGGTGAAAAACACGTGTACAACATTTTTGAATACTATATTATCACAGCCAAGTGTCATCGAGATCGGAAAATGCGATTAAGTTGATGTTTCTTATTAAAAGTGTATCGCGTCTGACTATATACCGACCTCTTCTACTTAATCTCCAACCGTCGACCTTTACTACTTGATACAATCAACTTTCCCTTTCTAAACTGTAAATATCTATCTTCCTCGTATAATTTCAGATACCTCTGTCATTATTAACTGATCGGTAAACAATAATAATAAATGTTACATTATATATTCTATATTTCACAAGTCCGAAATTGCACAGAATTAATAAATATTTTCATCAACGAAAATAAGTGCTAGGACAAATTTTAAGTTGCACAGTTCACAATTGTCAAAAGTCGAGCATTGACCTCGTAGAAAATAAAAACAAGAAAAGGTATTATACCGAAATCCTTTGTCGACTACATTTTCGATATTAATTACGATTCGCAATATCTGCTTCCATCTCGTCGAATAAATCATTTGGACGGAAATGGACGATCAGTTTTGACTGAATTACAACAGGGGGGAGTATCCGGTAAGATCCAGTTTAATTAACGAGAAGTTTCTCGCGAGACGCAGCCAAACATTTTCGCAGCGCCACGGCGTCTTTCACGGTGCCCCTGCAATCTTCTCGACTCGAAATCAGGATCCAACGGGAGTTCGAGTCGCTCCTTATCGAGCCAGCTCCGAAAATAAAATTAAACGGTAGCTCACCGGCGCGGTGGAGACAACGCTCAATATAATTCTGAACGTCCACTTGACCCGCGCAATCTGCGCCGTACAGCTGTCACCGTTGCCGGAATGAATGGGTCCCTGTGTTTGGCTGTGGGTAGCCGTCTTATCTGGCGAATCGAAACCCCTTTTAATTCCTCCAGTGGCGCTCAAGTTCAGGACAAAGTTCCGCGTGGCCGCATTGTACAGAGGCGCGTTTATTGTCTTCGCGCTTTATCGTGGAAGCACCTGAAAGTAAGCTGTTTATCGGCAGCTCCCAGACGCCGTTGTCCTCGCCAGCGATAGTTTTCGCGAGGTTTCGAGCTTCCTGGCCAGGATTCAAAGAGAGTCCGGTGTCTTGGCCCCCTCGATTGGACGCCTCCACGGTCCGAGAGCGAGTCCCCGCCCCCTGATAATGCCGCGACGGAGCGTCGCGTTAAATTGTTTCGAATTAGTACCTCGTTGCTTGTTTCGCGACAGCAAGTTCACGAACTCGGAAATTCAACAAAATCCTGGAACATCGAGTGCGAGAACAGCTCATCCGCGATACTATTTTTAGTTGGTTCGTAGGGGTGAAACTAAACCCTCAGAAAAAATGTAGATTCTTCTCTCGCGTGGAATATCTGAAGGTATCAGAAATATTTCAAGGTGGATAATTTCTTTTTTGTGATTATAAAGTCGCGTACGAATGATTATTGAAATTTTTTCAAATGTACTGTGTGTAGCAAAACTGAACACACGAACGATATTTTATTCAATATTTGCACGTAGAATACAAAAAAGACAAAATACTTGGTATTTAAATTAAGTTTTTGAAAAGCCAGAAGATTGTAGATAATACTAAGTATCTCGTTTCTTTTGTATTCTACGTGCAAATAGTAAACAAAAAACATACTGTGTATATGATTTATCAATGAGTGTTATATGTATATACTGCAAAATATTTGGCTGACATAATCCACCTTTATAATACACGTTTTTAATGTAGTGAAATGCAAAAGTGTTCGAATGTATTCGTGTTTTCGGGAAACATTTTTAATATGTTAATTTGCACATGAATAATGCGCCCGCGAGGCGATTTCTCTGTCAATTTCGAGACAGCTTTTACTATTCAGACGCGGTAAATTCAATCGCGCGACGTTCATCGGATCGCGCGTTCCCTTGTTTTTCCCCCGCCGCGTCTCTATTTTTTCTTTTAATTCGATTTCGAGTCCTCCTCGTTAGTCGGGTCGAGTAAAAACGCAGGATATGCAGATGCACGCGGGGAAAATAACGCAAACGGCCGCGACAAGAAATATCAAGTTACTCGGGGGCTTTTTCCTTGTCCCGCGAAAATCGTACAAACAGTATCGCGTCAAACGTTGCGAATTATCGCGTTTTACAGTTCCGGAAGCGAAATACGTTCCGGGGGTCATACCGTGTCACATCGATCACCTCCCCGGGGTCAGGACTTTTAATAAAATCGCATCGAATTCGTGGCATTAAAACAGAAATCGAAGAAACCGTTTCTACAAAAATCACACCAAGACTCAGTAGTAAATTTTTGCATCACCATCGGATTACTTGATAAACTATGAAGACTCTCTTATTGTTAGTGCAGTCGCTAATAACCTTTGTAGTTGGTGCGACCTTTAAACTTTCAATTAAAAAAAGAAAAATTTATAATTTTCACGTTCCACGGGCGACGACGATTCGAGTGAAAATTTATTCCGAAAGTTCTCGATAGAAACAAAAAAATGGCTCGACGGGGGTTTGTAGCTTCGACGTTGAAAATTCATTTATGCGGCCCGTTTTCGCACCAGAAATAGGCGAAAGTCAGAAATTTCGAAATTCTGTATTTTTTCAAGAAATTCTAACTCCAAATGGTGACTTAAAGTCTAATTCCGAGGGGGGTACGATATATTTGAATTTTATCAAAATCTCTGACCTCGAATACAGAAAGTGATCGATTTAGGGTGGAATAAACCCGACCGACCTCAATACGCGTGTGCACGGTTTAATACGATTTTCGAGTCCTCGTTCTTGGCCCACTCGATTCGTGCAATCTGCTTCGCACAGCTGTCACCGTGGTCCGGCATTCCGCAATGGAGACCCGCTCTGTCTGACAAGTCAGACCTTCTCCAATTTCACGTTTCCGTTGACTCGAACCATTCGCAATAAGGACACGAGGCCTTTCTTCCCGTTCTCTTTCCCGGTGCTGCACAAAACAGTCGTCGGAGAGATTGCGAATTGTCGTTGCGGTAAAGGAAGCTCGAAAGTTTCCCAGAAGTTGTCGATGCCCGAGAAAGTGAGGCAGACTCGGATACAGTCTGCTTGTATCCCCGTTGCCTCGTTGGTGTAAAGAAGATATAATTTATACCTTTGTGTGGAGGCCATGGAATATCTTCCCTTTGTCTTTCTTTTCGTTTTCAAACCGCAGGGAGGACGATCTGCTCGACTTTTCTATTGTTCTAAGATTCCTCCGATCCACGCTCGCGGGAAAATTGTTTCCTCTTACAAATAACACGCGATTGATTATATTTTTTAAACGCCAACCACTCGTTGGAAGCTTTAAAAATTGTACGAATCGGTTTCCATAACATTGCAAATTATCTCGAGTTTCGTTTGTTTTTTGCTCCTCTGGAAACAGTGAATTCTGTCTTCCATAGATTTTATTTGTTGTTTGATTCCATATTTAAAATTGCAGGACGCGTAAATATTATTTTTTAACAACTTATGTTGAATTTGATTGATGCATGAATGCATATTCCAATTAAAAAAAAATCGTATTGTAAGGTAATCGTCAACATGAAAGGTATTAATTGTACTTTTTTCATGGAATTTTGAGATATCTTTCTTTATTTCGTTACCAATAGATAGTAGAAAACGAAGTTATTACAAGATGCACGGTAAATGAGTGATTTACGATTCAAAGGGTTAATCGTGAGAAATGAATTCTCAATTTCAAACAATCGATAGTCACGAATCAATCTCCACTGGTGCAGAACTCTTCATACTTTCCGCTAAACAATAAATATCGCGACGATGTCCATTCACGAGTTCCAGTAACGATCGAATTAAAAACTCAGTGGTACAAATTCCGAGTAACCCAAAAAATTTGAAAGGCCGTGTCGTAATATTTCGGGTCCCCCAGCCGTGGCTCGTTTTTCGTCCGAAATTTCTGCCGATATTTTCCGGTATTTTTTACCCCTTTTTTTTTTTTTTATTTTACATCGGCTACCACATGGCACCCCCAGGTCATCGATTCCGTGGGCAGTCTGCGTAGCAAGTCGGCAGATACGTTCATTTTAACGCAGGAGCCACCTGTAATCTGTGTAGCCGTAATAACTTTTGCGTGGTTAGCAGCTGACCATGCATGGAATTCATTATGCTGAAACAAATATGTAAATCTCCATATATTCCTGCCACGGTTATACATATATGGCCGCGAGTATACGCGGCCTGGATGCAGATATATTTCGTACGAAACGTGTCCACCCCCGAAACGGACAGTGACGGTTAAAAAAAACTTATCTGGCCACGCCAGTTGCGTCGGACATGTTAATAATGTCGGAGGGGGGTTGAAAATGTCGAGCACTTTATGCTGGTCCTTGCCCCTGGACGAGATATTATTTTACAGAAATTTTACGCGTATCGTGGCAATAGCTTTCGGTGAACTGCACTACCTTCATTAACAAAGCGAATTCTAAGGTGCAATTTCGGGTGCACTGGCGTCTTCTTGGAAGTTGAAACATACTCAGGAATTCCTGTAACTGCATCGACGAGACAAACGTAGCAAGCCTGGTGATGAAATGTTCAATTAACAACGTAGAAGCTGTAAATTTTTTATTTAAGTTTCTATGAGAAAAGTAAATTCCTAGACAGTGACACAAGGTGGTAAAGTATGGACACACGTCAGGAAATAATCAAGAATTTATTTATCGTTGACGTTTACCTAAAAGCTTTCCAATTTTATATAACAGGTAACCTCATAGCCTGTCATTCATTTCGCACATTCGTTTGAAATTAAATTTTATACCTTTCCACGTTTTTACACACACGTACTTTCGTAATTTCGGTAAAAACGTTCGGTGAAATGTGTATTGAAATGGCACATTTAAAACGGGAATGAGAACCAAACGCCTCGTCGATGTATTTATAAAATCTACCGACGAGCGTTTCGCAGAGGGAAACGTTCTGTGTGGATATAAATGTATACATATTTAAAAGTGAACGTAATAACTGAACTTTTCGCGAACTTTCAGCAAAGACACCAATTTATTCAAAGGAACCACAACGGTTATTCCCCGAAAAGCAGATATTATATAAGCTCAAAGCTCCGATTCGTATATGTCCCGCGATCTAAAGATGTTTCTGAATTCGGTTTCCAGCACGTTTCGGAAACTTGTATACATCGTAATCTAAAAGTTACAATAAATGTTATATTAAACAAAATTCGTGATTCTTCGTAGTTTAAATACGAATTGTACTTTGAAAAACTGGAAAATCAAGATGTCTAAAAATTTTTAATTTCTGCGAAATCCAAGCCTTCGAATTTAAATTTATGTCACGAAACGAATAATTTACTTCTCACTTGCATGGCAATCTTATTCAAATAGCAATCTATATGCTATAATTTTGTGATCAGTGAATGCAGTTTTACGAATTTACGACTCCAAATGTAATTTCCAATGTCCAATGTAATTTCGAAATTAAAATAACCGGTTTGGGTGATTCTTTGTCCCGTGTAACATTTTTTAGAAACTACCGTGTTATACGGTGGCTGAGAATCGCGATTCCGCTTTGTTGGACGTCCAAGACGAACGCATCCCCGCGAGACTTCTCTCCCTCATCAAAATTCATGGAAACAATTTTAATTAAAGTTTTCGTCTATTATCTCTCACGGTATTTCTGTTCCGCCCCATTCGCGCCGCTCGAAGAAAGAATTGAACTGTTTTTGAACGTCACGATCGTTTGTTGTTTCAGGAATATCCATGCACAAAGGCTATGCATTCGTACAATTCACAAATCCCTTTGATGCTCGCAGCGCCTGCCTCGGCGAAGATGGCCGCACCGTTCTTAGCCAGATACTCGGTAAGTAATTTCACTTCACGAAACATTAATAACTCGCCTGGCTCCTCCGTACGTACCCGATTTAAACATTAATTGTCCTCTTTTCGAGCTGGCCTCTTTCATACGGCACGCTAATTAATTATTGGCGGGAACTACGTTTATTTCAGCGACAACATTTAATCCGTTCGCCTTCGAGAACGAGTTCCGCTCGCGACCCTATGACGAGGACAGCTATTTCCAATGACTCAATTTTAATCCTTGATTCAGCTCCTCGCGAAACTCGATCGTATACCAGTCATAATTAAACAACGATTATTGAAAAATGCATACCTTTTGCTAGAATTTCTTTAGACATACAGTACATGAAGAAAATTGCATTTATTCGTGATATAAAAAATAACAAATTAAGAGTTTCAAGTCCACTTGTTGCAATACTTTTTGTATTTTTCGAAAGCCTCTGGATTCATTATTCGCGTAAAAATATCTACATTTCTTTTCTGTATTAATACAATTTTGTGGTGTGAGAATAGTACTAACATTTTCAACGATCATAGTAGCGTATAGGTATCTGGTGATGAAAATGGATGAACTGATTAAATTTTACTTGTAATTTAATTCTGACTGAGAATTCTCACCATTAATTTGTTAAGTATTTCGGTTGTTAATTTTTTAAAATCCAACTAAATCTCCAACGTTCGAACGGTTAAAGACATCTTAATGAAACTGGCATAAGAAAAAGTAAAAATTGCTTATGTAAGACCGACCGTACAATAGTAGCTCTTTGTAATATATCTTGGGTGACGCTAATGCCGACGGCATAAATCAGATTTCCTACTAAACAGCGAAAATTCATTGCTCGCTTTAAATCGTCATAACTTTGCGGGACAAAATAGTAGTCACATTACAAAGACATAGAACGAAACTACATACTCCAATGTTTAATATCATAAACGGTTACTGTTTGGAAAGTCATCGAAACATTGGGCATCAAAATCGTTATCTTTCTTTTCCGATCGACAAACTGTGATTCATCAAAAAATCGGAAGACTTGGAAATTTGCTATTTTCCAGGCTTAAACAAGTTTAAATGAGTTGATGGATAGCTACACACGTATATAAACCGGTATACGTGTAGATGTAAATGAATAATAATTGCAAAGTGTATTTCACATTGTTTTTAGCGAAGTACAATTTCACACGAGTACTTTCACGTGCTCCTATATTTCATCTCGCTGCAGCTGTCAGTGTGAATAAAACTGCACGGAAATATACACAACGCTTCAATAAATGAGACTTGTCTGTAATATGTAAATATTATTACTCCATATTTTTTTTTATCAGATAAACTAGACAACTTCGGTCCATTCGCGGTAGAAATATTTCACGATTAAATTTCACTAAAATTTCCGCGATACTTAGAACGTTACAATATTTTTTCAAGAGTAACTTTCGATGCTCCATTATAAAACTAATTTCCAATATGAAAGGTAGATTTGTAATTTAAGTTGGTAAACTTTCGCGTATGCTCGCCCTAATCGTTACATGGCGTTCGATTGAATAATTATTTATAATTGGTCCGTCGGGGCAGGTATTCTTCGTGTCAGTGGAACGCAAAAACGGATTAACCAGAACTAGTTCGGTGTCCGACGCACGGGGCACTCGACGGGAACAACTACTTCCAGTTCGCGAATCGATTAAGAACCCCGGAATTCTGAAGTCGAGGGTCCCGATCGAACGTTCAGGGCGAACGTTTACGAAACGGTCCTTGTCTCGCGAAGTTAACCCGACGGTGGAAGGTTCTCCGCAACCGGTGAAGATCGGCGAACGAGTCGAGCGGATCCTTAAAAGCGAAGCATCATCGACTCCATCCGGTCATTAGTTTCAAACTTCCACGGTGAATCTGACTCGAGACAGGGGTGCTTCCGTTCGAGAGCATTTAGCAAACTCGCGAACTGCCGCGTAGAATCGGCCGTTTTTCCGTCCTCGTTGCCGAGTTCCCGCGGACGAGACGTTAACGTCGATTCGGGAGACATATTCTTTCGCGCGCGTTCCAGTTTCCGGTTCCATGGTCTCCGGATGTTTGTTTAACCCACGCTGGTTCGACCCGAACGAGCAACTACGAGTGCTGCGGTCAATAAGACGAATATACAAGGAGAGAGAAATAAGGATCCGGCGTTGTTGACTCGAGCAGAAGGATTGTACGCTGGACGTTGGGAGATTGTTGCTCGTACGTACAATGGTAGGAAAGAGACCATCCGTGTTCGCCTTCTCTGGGCAATAAGTGGCTTTGTGTTTGCCGATTTATGTGCTCGAAGAGTTTGTGTTAGCTCTATATACTATTTATCGTGTCAAATCTCTGTAAGGGTGCTTTTCACCGATCAAAACTCGCACAGCGTATTGAAACTTTCAAATTTTATTCCGTTTAGAAAATTTGGAATATTTATTTTTAATGAGGGTGGAATTGTTACGTGTTCATTGGGCATTTGACTTGTATATAATTTTTTCGTGTAACTCAGAAATTATAACGTCCAAGGAAATGTTGAAAAACAAAATAACTGTTGAGACACGTTATTGATGCCAAAGGAGGACCAACCAGAAAACGGTATGTTTGCACCAAGTGCCCCGTAAATTCCGTATGTCAGATGTGTTTGTAATTTTACGTATGCATTCTCGAGGCTCCCACGTGACTTCACTGACAATCTTATTTCGAAAACTTGAACCAAACGTGTGTATTTCGTGTATGTTGTGCATCTGTGCTGTTCGACAGCAATGTTCACTCAAGTTGCGTGTCGCGAGCGACATAAATAAGTTCGTTAAATCTATATTTCGGAGTACCTTGGAGGGTAAACGACCACGGCTCGTAACAGCTACCCGATAAATATCCTTCGAGGCGACTCTGAATCGACTCCCTTCAGCCGTGCGTCTTTCAGCCCCTCCGGGGAACAGCGGCCGAAAGAAACTTACGCATTAATCAAAGACAGAACTTTACAAGTTCGGGCGTCGCCATTGAAATCGCGAGACCGTCGGGAACGGTGGTAATCGTTGTTGAAACGAGTCCTTTTCTCGCGTTTCTTCCCTCCCACTGCGCTCCCTTTGCCACCGGGCAGCCGCCAAAAGTGTATCCGCGAGTCGGAGTCCCGCAGAACGATACAACCGGCAAGGATCAACGACAGAAACCGGTACCACGCCTCCGGTAAGAACCCACCGGTATCTGTACGGAGCCCTTTCTTCGTCCCACCCGCGTCCAGTTAGCGGGGATCTCTCGCTTTACTCGCTAGAAATCTTTCTTTGGCTAATGCAAGAACTGTGTTCCCAGTGTAGCTAGCAGCCGCCTACCTTCCGGCGCCCATATACCCAGGCGTACATACACGTTCGGCGGGTTATAGGCGGGGGTGTGGCGGGCAGACTCGGGGACTGGTGTACCGTGAGAGACGCGCATTTACAAGTGCAACTCGCCACAGGGAGACTCGGGTCTCCTTCTCTTTTTCCTTTTCCCGGCGTCCTATATAATTTTCACGACTGCACACGTTCCCGCGTTACATAGCGCAACTTCAGCCGTGAGAAAACCTCGAATAAAACTGCACCGCCTCACGGAGGCATCGGTTCCACCCCTGACACCGCGATTCTGATGAATTTATCGGGCTCCAAGTCCGAATACATCCCAAAACTAGACGTACACGTAAATTCTGTCGAGAAACTATTACCAACGGGATGTTCTAGAGTTTTATTTGTTTGTACCAAAAAATTAGAACGATAGATGCGAGAAGAAATGTATAATGCAATGGGGATGTTTATTCGTTTATAGAAAATTACGATTTTTTAAAAATTCAGTCGAGTCAATTTTTTTAGAAGTTTTATTAGAATTTACGAGTGGATCATTTTGACTGCTTTGGTAGTTAAGTATTAAGTTTGTAGTTTAAGAGATACGGTATTGTGAGAATTGATGTGAACGCAATGATTATTTGAAATTTATAAGTATTGAAATGGATGTTGGATAGGGACAAAATATAAACAGTTGCCCTTTGTTATTACTAGGGTGTTCTTAAGAGAATACTTTCGTAATAGTGGCGTGTTAAATTGCACTTCAAATTCGATGGTTTCTTGACTTCACTCGATAGACTGCGGCGATCATAAATTAGAAAACCCCGTTCGATCGTCCTGAAAGCTAGCCTGCTCTTTTCCACGTATCCTCCATCCTTTTTCGTGACTTCTCAGTTGTATTTCTCTTACCTTAACCTGTCTTAGACTGGGAACGTACTATCGACTTTCCGTTGCGCGAGAGTTATGTCCGGGGTACGGATGAGAGTTTTACTCTCAAGATTCGGTATCGAAAGTACGACTCTCTAGTGGGCACAGTATCGAGAGTGAGAGTTTCATCATTCTAACAGTTGCCAGTATAAGGGAACGAGGCCAATATAAATTTTAATCTCTATAAATAAATTCTTTATTCCTTGACAAATGTTGAACGGTCGTGAAAACATTTCTATTTTTACTAATAATTTCTGAAGGTGAGAGAATCCTTGAATCCTCAAATTCTGTCGCGATTTTTTGTTAGACCTCTGACCCTTTACGAACGAAAAAGCAATGTGCAACAAGTATCAGGTTGCAATTATTTGCTCAGCCAATTGATTGGACATCCAGTTCTATTATAGATCAGTTATCAATGATGATAAACGTACACTTCCTGTAATTCCCAACGGGAATGAACCCGGTCAAACGATTCTAGAGGCTGGTAGTATGCTGTGCGTTTGATAGTATTGAAAGACCATCATGTTTTATGAGTTGTTATCGAACAATGAAGCGATTAATTCGGATAAGTATTGTCGCCAATTGGATCATCTAAACCGAGCCATCGAAGATGAACGTTCAGTTTCATTTAATCGAAAGAGCATCCTCCTTTACTACGAAAACTTATACCCTAATTCAGACTTATAAGAAATTCAAACAGTTGAAATGGGACTTCTTTATTCACCGATTATACTCTTTAGGCTTTGTCTCATTTAATTAGTATCTATTAATAAG